GGAATGTTACTTACACGGTGAACTTAAAAAATACCACAAACCTTCTTATCTCCTACCAACACACCTTTCGCTTGAGAGGCAGCAGCAGTAGCGCTTTATGGTGTTCAACATTTGTTCAGCAGTGGGGTTTCTTCCACTGCCTGAATCAGACCTTTATACCATTAGTACATCTCACTACCAGCTTACTCTGTCACTAAATATAGAGGTTCAGATGGCATCTATTCCTCATGAATAATCTCCCTGAAAAAAGCTATGAAAATACCCTTCCTGAATCTCAACACTTAGTGTTATCTAGCCTTCATATTACAGCTGTGGGTTTTATCACTAACAGCCTTTAGCTTCCTGACCCATTTAGGTGTTCAGTGTTGTGACAGGATGAATATCTGGTTAGTGGTCTGGTTCCAAAAATGTAAATAATTTTCCAGTTCCAGAAACGTAGAAATATAGTCCTTTATCTAGATTCCTGAATACATATCCTCTTGCAAAGATTAATTTTTGGGGGTCAAAGTATTTCATCACAGAACTGTAATTTATATAACGTAGCCTCTTGGAGGCCAGTGTGTTTAACAACAAAAAATTATCAAGAACTTGAGTATGTAGATTATATTTTCTTTGCTTTTCTACATTTGGGAAAGCCTTTAAGATTCAATTTTTTTTCTTCTCTGAATCATCTTTGCCAATATATCCCCAAAATGTGATTGTATTTAATTCACAACTTTTTTCTTTCTCTTTGAAGGAATATCTGGCATTAACTTAACTTCTCCTCTGAGGTTAATGAAAAATAGGAAAAAGCAATTTGAATTATTATGCCTTCATCCAACTGTACCTCTCATCTACCGTGCTTCAAGAAACATAGAACGGTGAATGGGAAAAGTGGTATTTTCCTTGATGGTAGGGAACACTGGGAACAGGGGGACCCTCATCCATTGAGAAACAGGGAGTTACATCACTTGTTACTGAACTATTGCTCTGGGTTGGGTAACCTGGCTTCCACAGGGTTAGAGCTAATCTACAGGGATGCTCACACCAAGTCCCAAATAGCTAAAACCTCCCTCTACCCAGCCCATTTCCTTCATTATCTTCACTGAAAATTCACTGAAACCAAAGAACATTTTTGCACTGATCACTTTCCGGTTGGTCGTGTTTATAGGTAAAGAAGCAGTACCTGGAGGGGTCTCCTTTTCGGCTGTCTCCTGCTTCACTGCACTGCCACAGTCAAGACCTTTTTTTCTGACGATAGCAGCAGTCTGCAAGTATGTTTGCCACTCTTTCTGCAATATTGCTACAGGCCTATCTGTTAAATCTTAAATACTAATGCATCATTAAAAAGGGTATTAACATATTGTGCTGGGCCTGTATATATATATATCTTATTCTTCACAGTTTTATGGCAATTTCTATTAAAAACGTCATTACAGAGATTATTGTGACATGCTTTGAAAGAGCAGCATTCATTACATATTATCTATGTATTGGAGTTTGGGAAATTAATGCACCAAGAAATGAAATGACTCACTCAGGGTCACCAAAGATGTATGTTCAAGTCATGATTAAAATGCAAGCCGTAGAACTCCTTTGTGTTTGCTGCACAATCTTTTTTGCTCTTTCTCTTACTTTCTAGTTGTTTTTTTTTTTCTTTTCAACCACATCCTACAGTTGTACATTCAGCTAGAAAATTCCACTGTGCTGCTTTTGCTGTCAAACTGTAATTGGCATTTAACCAACAGTTAGTTAAATACAGCTTGTTTGTCTTTGTGAGCCTTCCTTTCCTTTGCTTTGGGGTTCAAAGGATGGAGAGAAAATGGGATTACTGGGAAGGAAGAGCCAGGCTGCAGGGAGTGGTGCACAGAGAACCAGAAATGCAGTGCCCAAGGACCTGCTCAAGCGATGGAGTGACTGTGAGATGTGCTGCTGCTGTTGTGAGTCTCTTATCTACAGATGATCAGAGATATGTGGATTTTGCAGCCTTTCAGTGCTGGGGGGGTTAGGGAGAAACAGAGGTTAGAGATAAGGGAGGTACAAGGAGAGGCTGGAAGGGAAGGGGCTGCGTAATGGACCTTCCCTTACACTACCTGCTCCGTTACATCCACTGCCCAGGAGGGTAGGGTGGACATAGTGTGTATTTCTCTTTTTATAGGTTACATCTTCTGCAAAAATATGATGCTTTAAGTGTGTGCCTGCTCCCAAATTATATCAGAGAGTGAGCTCTCACAGTGCCTACAGCTTTCTGATTTGTGACTTGCAGGCGTGTTGCCCAGGTGCCTGGAGGGGACTTGTACCGGTGTCTGGAGGGGACCTGGGCTGCAGCCTTTAGAGGGAGACTCAGTAATGCTCTGGTTACTTTTTTTTTAGCAGGTATGACAGGGGACCCTGTTCTTGGGACTAGCTGACCAAGAATCCATGACATTTGTAGTAACTGTGTCTGTTGTACAGCAAATAAATGTCTTTAGACATTAACATACTATATCATCGATACTTAGTCATCAGGTGGGGTTGGTCTTTAATTTCTTAACTGCTGTTTTTCTTTCAATGCCAACTGGAGAGAAATGAGCGTGAAATTCAGAGCAATGAAATTGTAATTTATATATATAAACAGAGGAATGAAGAATAATTTTCATTTAAGGGCATTTGTCTTGATTCTAGATACTTCCTGAATACTTTATCTTAGCTTTAATTAAAGAAAACAGATGTGTAAAGTTTCATTTGTAATAATAATAGTAAAAAAATTAACGTATGTTTTTCTTTTTCATTCTACTTCGGATTTTGTGGAACACAACCCATCTGTAAACTATTATTTACGTATGTAGTATGACATAAAGAGTAATATTTCAAGCTAGAGAGAGACTTTGTCTTTTTGCCTCTTCTGCAACTGCAATTTGAGAACAGCTAGCCGCTGAGGTTAAAGATTTAAATGTGCAAACCATATAGATCATATGTAGCGGGTTTAAAGGCTGCAATGCCACACAGCACCCAGGAACCCGACCCCTTCGACTCACAAGACCCTTTCTTTTCCAGTACAAAATCTGCGGTTTAGTTTCTGAAGCTTCCCATTTCCTGCTTTTCTTATCAGTAATACTTCTGTTTCCTGAGACAAGCTAAACGTAAGTTAATCTTTGATCTCTTTGAAAAGATAACTTTGTAATGCAAATAAAACAGGACTCAGTCTCCAACTCAATTCTCTTCTATTTAGATTTTTCCATTCAGGTGGACCACTGACCTAGCTAGGTATACTTTGTGAATCCAGATTTTGGTTTGGTCACGACAATTTCAATTGCTCAATGAAAATGTAAGGAAGTACTACTCTTAGAAAACATGAAGCTGCTTAAAAGAAGCTGGTCGTGTTGTAAGACTTTATTAGTCCTCAAAGCTTGTGCTGCCGTGAAGTTCCAGTATTTGAGAAAATTCTCAGGCTATTGAAATAATTGAAATAAAACCAGAACAAAAATGAACAGACAAGATCATTAGAAATTTTTATGAGGAGTCATTTTTGTTAAATATAATTTGGAAGGCTAAGTTCAGGTTTCTAGGAAAAGATTTTGCATATAATATTTTTCTGTTTTTTAAGGAACTGTGAGCAACATATTTGGTGAATTCAGAGAATGCAACTTCCTAATCAAACAAAAAAAAATCCTGTTGAGGGGAAATACATTACCTACAATGAATGCACTTACCTACAGCTCTGAACATGATTTCTCAGAGGTGAAAAAATAGGAAATCACTTGTAAAAATGAAAAACCACGAAGAAATTAAAAAAAAAAAGCTTTATTGCCTTTTCACACTGAATCTCAGATCTACTGCCTTCCAAGGAGAGGTTCTGCAGAAGAAGAAAATGAATAAAATACTTGAATACAGGCTCTCATTCAGGTAATACAACCTCTGAGTTAGAGTGGTGTAGGGTACAATTATTTTATCACTTTGTCGTTTGGTGGATTCTGTTTTTATTGACAAAGTAGAGTAGAAATAAGTGCAACTGCAACAACAGAGAATTACAGATCTAAGTAGGAAGTGGCAAAATGGAGTTACTGCAAACGTAAAAAACGTTGTGTTATCCTAAAACCTGCCTAGCTTAATGCAGATAAATATAGACAGATTTTGGTTTTCAGACAGGTTGTTACATTGTGAAGGTGTTTTAAACAGATCTGATGCTAAGTCCTGCTCAAACTTGTGCAGACTTTTACCTGAAATATTAATTTCTGTTGTCAGCTTTAGTTCAAATTACGTTTCTTTATTCATTTGAGAATTTTAACTAGTTGATTCAAGCTTAATTTTGACTTCACATCAATCATACTGTTCCATCTTTAAGTAGCTCCATGAAACTATGGTCTGCCGAGGTGCAAAAATGCTTGCAGTTGTCCTGAGAAAAATCCATAAAAAAATGTGTGTGGCTTGTTTTGACAAATTTCAACATGAGTCATGAATAGTCAGGAATCTTACACCTTTGAACAAGCATTTTCGAGCTGCATAATTTTGATCCCAAAATACTGTCTCATGACATATTATCACAAATAAATTCTCGTACCTTAAGTCATTGTTTTTTATAAGTAGTCACAGAATTATGACCTCTAATATACAGGAACTGTCTTATCTTCTCTTTAGATTTTATACTGCCTGATTAATAGATAAATGTTGAACTGCAGTGTCAGAAAAATGAAGAAATTCTGTTGATTTTGGATAGATAGCATGGAAGAATTCTGTTTGCTTCTGCTGCTGAAACCTAAAGATCCCTGCTTCATCAGTTGTCATCGTATTCATGCATATTGCTAGAGATTCGTTAGTATTGAAAACTTCACGCTGAGCTGGATTTTGACAGCAATTTAGACTCTCTCTGATGCAAGTGCACCGAGACCTCAAACTTGGTGTTTCCTGGAATGTGAAAGTAAAAAGCACATGATGTTCTTCGTATTTCAAGTGTAAAAACATCCTGTGAGAAGGGCACATGGTGTGCAGAAGCTGAATAAAACCATGTTTCACTCTAGTCACTGATTCCAGTGTTCTTTGAGATGGACCATGCAGCTCTTCTCATTCTTCTTCTCCAGCTTTGTGGAAGTAAGGTTGCTTTCTTATTCCTAGCTAACATCTTTCCTTTTTTATCACATCGTGACAGATATGATTGCAATTCACAAGTGTGTTACTGTGTGGTTCAGACAATTTTTAACTGTTCACTGATATTCACAAGATAGAAATAATCATTTGGTGGGGGTGGTTTTTTTTATTTTTCAGTGAACTTTTTCTTTGGTATTTTGCTTGTAGTTCTGCCAAAGTTGTTTCTGAGTTTTTCTATCATTTCAATTTTCAGTTATGTTAATTCTGAAACTGAATTTCTGTGTGTGCTTTAGCCAACATGGAAGGAAATCTTGTGGATTCAACTGTAAAACTTACCGAGAAGGTGAAACTGGAATGCATATATCCAAAAACAGCCATGATAATGCAGACAACCTGGATGAAACTTAATGTAACTCATAAAGAAAATATAGCTGTCTTGCATCCAATCTATGGTGTACATATCGAAGACAAATACAATGGAAGAATTTATTTTGAAAATGCTTCCAGGGAAGACATGTCCTTATCCTTCATCAAGAGCACTTTGGAAGATGTTGGTCTTTACTTTTGCTCTGTTGTAACTTACCCAGATGGAATTTGGGAAAAGGTAATAGAAATTATTCAGCCAGGTAAGTTAATCGCATTGTTTTTTAAAATTTCTGATATGTGGAAAACAGAAATTCATGCCAATTTAGGGAGTGTCTGGCATTGTAATTTTTCTTTTCAATTCTATAGCATGCAGAAACGGAGTAATTTGGGAAAAAGAACTAGCACGACAGGAAAAAATTGTGTTACTTTGACAAAAGGTCATTTAAGAGAAGCAGGAAGTACAGAGGAGAAATGGAGGAGCCAGACAGAGGTCACAGCAGCAATGTATTTCACTTCAGGTACTAACAGTCACCGCAATGGTGATATTTCCATTGGGCCAAGGTTCTCACAGCATTTCAACAAGGTACAGGATCTCTTCAGAGGAAGAAATTGCACCTGCACATGAAATTGCATGGATGAACCTTGCAGCTACACATGGAGGGTACCATATTTGTATTGTTATGTTATATGGTGTTTCCTGATCTGAACCTAGGATTGGTTTTTTTTTCTAGAAGATCTTCTGTGCTTGCTTTTTCAGGAACAAAAATAACCATTTACAAATGGTATGGTAAGAAAAGGGAGGGAAGTAGGGAAGTTTAAATGAATTAAAAAAACCCCTTTTCTTTACAAGGAGACGTTTTTAAAGATGGAAAAGGAAAGGAGAAAAAGATCCAGCCATGCCCATGTACTTTCTATGTAGCTGTCCATGTACTTTCCAAAGGCTCTGCAACTACCTGAGCACTCATCTGATTTGGTTTCTTATCCAGCTCTATGAGAGAAGAACCCTTCTCTGGTATTTTTCCATGCATGCCTGTTCAGTATTGGTCAGCTGACAACTCGGAGGGAAATTACCAAGCTTCTCTGATAAGAGAGAGAAGTCCTTAGAAGATCAATACGCACATATGATAGAACAGCCTTCGAAAGATAACTTGTTTTGCCCATTGGTTTGTTAATTTGGTATTGTGAATGTAGAAAGAATTTGTTTCTCTTTCACATTCTCCAGAGTGAAAATGGACTCCATTCAATATTTTATTGTGTTTCCTAGCTAGGAAAGAATGGGTTGAAAGGAAAATTTAGTTCCTAGCATTTGATAGACCAGAAGATCAAAATAACAGTTCTTTTCTTAACTTGATCCTTCTGAGTCTTCATTTCAACCTTATTTTATCTACACTACTGTAATTTCAATGTTACAATGAAACAGTGGACCTGACTATTGTGGGAGATATCTAAACTTCAAAAATTCAAGGTAGATCATTCCTGCCTGCACCACTGAAGGTTTTTGAAAGTTGATTTTAGACAACACGTTTGTTCATGGCGCTGATGAAATAGGAATCCCAGTCTGTCTTCCTGCTAGCTCTGCTAGCTTTTTATTAGTAAACTTTGCTGCTCATCAAATCAGAAATTAAACCACACATAAATAATCATCCTGATGATTATTTGAAAAAAAAAATTCTGTCTCAACTGGATTGTTTAGTTAGATAAGATAGTTTGGAATTTAAATTATTTTTGCCTGTGTGGCACACCGGCATAGCCATTCAATTCCCGGTCACTCCCATGTAGAGGGAAAGTCCTGCGAGCAGAGGAGCTGAGCGGGGTCCCTCGGGGTGGGCTTGCAGTCCAGGTCAGAGTTCCTCTTCTGTGATTCCTTCAGTGGCATCTCTGAATGCTTGCTTCACTCTGGTGTCTTTTTTATCGTGTAAGGAATAACGTCGCTGAAGTAGTATCTCCCTAGGTTCTTTTTCTCTGGCAGTCCGTTTAGTGCACAGTATTATTGCAAGTGTAGGCGTTAGAAACCTACTTTTTGGTCACATTCAGATAAGCCAAGGTCTGGAAATCCAGGTTGCTCTTTGCAAAAAAAGGAACAGGCAAACCAGATCTCTTCCTTGGATCAGTCCAACCTGAGTTCTGGCAGTGCTGAGCCCTTATTCACAGTGGTTTTTTTTTCTATAAAATCCTAAAAGTTAAGGGCAGTAGAGATCTGCAAGCTCATTTTCCTGGCCGAGGCACTACTGAGTGTATTGGCTAGGGTTGATCGGAACCGATGCAAGAAACAAGGCAGTCGCTTTCCCGTGGGATGTTACCCTTCAGTCTAGTACCTTTATTAGGCAATCCACTTACAGATTTCAGCATGCTGTAAACCACACAAAAAGTGGGTCAGTTATCAGAGGTATCTTTTTTGAAACAATACTGTGGGATTCAGTATTCTCAGTATGTAGGATTTCTCTCTCGGTTTGAGCACACTAAAACAGAAACCTAAACCAACAGCAACCCTCCCATTTTTCAAGTATATCAGTTGAATCCTACTACAGAGGGAGATAATATTGTTGAATAGAAATGAATCCTCTTCCATTTAAGGAATCAACGTTTCTGAGAACAATCCTGTTCAGCTCCCAATAGATGTGCATAAGCATGATCTCTGTAAACACTGATCTGAAGAGAATGAAGTGTATCACCAGTGAAGATAAAATATTACAACTTCAATCTACACTGCAAATTAAATGTGTTATTAAAACCAGAGTTTAGAGAAAGTATTTATTTATGTAGTAGTTGTAGTAGAACTGTTAACAGTCAGGCTTTATCTTACTTTACTAGCACCTTCATCAGTACTAAATCTTCTAAACTCCCTGAATGACATGTTGATTAAATAAACAGTAAACTTCAAATTCCCTTCCATGCAGCTGGTATTTTAGCTTGCTGCTGACACTAAACACATAATTTTTCTTTTTTGTCTTCCAACCTGTAAAATTAGGACATTGATGTTCATCTTTAAAGTTTTTTTATTCTGCACCAGGGAAAAAGTGTTGAGAAAGCTGAGTGTTAGTCTCATAATTTCACTTTACATGGATCTTTCTATAGGATTAATATACACAAATTGTTGAGGTCCTGGAATATGAAGTGTTTTTTAAGGAATCTGATACTCTCTGGAATAAAGAAATCTGGCCAACATACTAGAAAGATCATTTTATGGGTAATTAATATTTTTTTTCCAATTACACTATTTCTTTGGGTAGGATTTATAATTTATTGATTCCCAATAGATATTATTTTTCTAAAAGCATTAATTTACCTACAGTACCCCAAACAAATAAACAACTCACTGCAAAATCCATTTCCTCTCTTTATAA